TATGTTTTAAAACAAGAGAGTCTGAGATGTTAATTTTCATTAAAATTTAAGATAATAACTTGTTACGAGTCTATTTATCTCAAACAATATGAGTAAATAATAAAATATTTATTTTTTGATGTGATTTTTAAAAAGAAAAAGTTTTTGAAACGGGTTTTGGAATGTTGATCCACAAAGGCCTTTTAATATGGGTGGAACCCTTAGTGAGTTTTACATATTATAAAACTCAACGCAAATGCATGTATGAGTGTGAATATTATACTTTTATGTAAAAAAAAAAAAAGAAAAGAGTTATGCATAAATAACACAAAGGAATGACCAAGAATATTTAACATGAGCAAGACACAAATTTTAAAAGATTCGACCTAAACGTATAAAAACCAAAAAGACTTGATAACACTTTGAAACACATTCATGATGTATATTTATATATAAAACACATCATGTTAGAAAATTAAACACAAAAAAAATTCAAATGTCTGCACATAAGCAATCCATCTTAAAGTTTAATCAATCTAAAATATTTCATCACAATACATATCCAAATCAACCATAAATCAAAATAATTAATACTAAAATATATAAAGTTAAAATAGAACTTTTGAAATGGATAGGGGGGTCAAAAATAATATGTGAAAGTGGCAACACAGTGTTAAAAAATTGACAGTGCGACTCAGATAATGTTGTGTTGTTCATCTAAATCTTAAGGAGAGGAGGAGTGCAGGCCCCTCCCCCTTTTCTAATCATAATGGTGATGTATGTTATCGACGATGGTGGAAGTAGATCTAATTGTTTAAAGTTTGCTCTTTTTTTGTCCCTAATGTTATCTATTATAGACAACCTTGCTTCCAATGCTCAGTGCACTTTTAAGTACTAATCAGAAAGCGTGTGGCCTGCCTAGCAGGTTGTGCCACTCCTTGACCTTTCTCTTGGTGTGCTCAGTCTAGCTTTATAGTGGAGATGGGAAGCGTGTGGCCTGCCTAGCAGGTTGCGCCACTCCTTGACCTTTCTCTTGGCGGTAGTGGTGTAAGCGATCACCATTGATGGTAGGAGATTTAACAGTTTAAAAGTTTGGTTGTACGCTCTCTTTCTTTTATTTCTTGTTATTTTGTTTTTCTCCTTTCTCTTCTAGTTTCTTTTTTATTTACAGTCATCACAGGTTGTTGTGCTGCTAGGGATGCCATGGAGGAGCTTATGATGGTAGGTAAGAGGTGTAAGTGGTTAAAATTGGTAGAGAAAAGAGATGAAAAGGATAATTTCTCTTTACTTTTTATTCTTCTATGCTTTCTTTATGTTTTCTTTTTCTCTAAATTCCAACACACTCTCTCTATCTATCTCTCTTGCTACATCTCCCATTTTATTTTTTTATTTTTCTCTTGAATGGTAACTAAAGTTTTGTGATCAAAGGGGAAGAAGAAGATATGAAGCTAGGTTTTCTGGTAGGTTCGGTTTTGGTGTGAGAGACTAGGATCTCTCTTCTTTTTTCTTGTTCTTGTTCTCCTTTTTTCTTTATCTCTTAGTAACTAAGGTTTTTGGTGGAAGAAACGAGACTAAGGATATTTTGATGGAAAAGATAAGGTTCTTTTATATGGCAGCTCTCTCTTTTCTCTACAATTCACTCATTTATTTATAATCCTCAAATGTTATCATCTTTGTTTTTTAGTTACTTGTCCTTAATTAACTCAATTTTATTTTGGTCCCTTATTTTTCTTGTTTTTCATTTTAGCACTTTGTCCATTTTTATCCTCTATTTTGACTCTTTTGTTTTTCTTATTTTTTTTGTATTTTTTTTTAAGAAAAACAACATCAACTTTAGTTTAATAAAAAAAAAAGTAATCAAGAGTTCCAAAACACACACATTAATTAATGGCTAAAATGCATCGAAAACATACTTTTGAATTTTGATTTTTTGAAAAGATTTTGAAAATTTTGAAATAAATGCAAATACGTCAAAATTAATTTTTTTTATTTTCTTGAGAAGATATCAACAAGAAAAATAGTTAAAAATTTCAAAATGGATTGGTCGAAATGCATCAAAAATATTTTTTTTTATTTTTTATTTGTAAAAAATATCATGGGTAACAAATTAGATTATGACACATATTATCATATTTTATTTTTATAATCGTTCCTAATTTTAAAAAGAATCCTTTGCATAAAATATTTCATCACTTTTTCTATTCATGCCTCTATTCTTAATTTCTATTCACATATGTATAATTAAAAAATAGTAAAATTATATAATATTTTAGTAAATCAAAAAATATAAAATTATGTAAAAATTCAGTAAATTTTTAAATTATACCTTAGCTATTTTATTATAAGGGACCACTGGTTATTGTCTTATATTATCTTTGGATTCTTTAGATTAAAGAATTTATGTTTTTTTTGACAAGCTCTACTAATATTGAAAAAGGACTCAAATAATAAAAAGTTAATATAAGTTTTTTATCTCTATATTTCTCATATTTTCCTCGCATAGAATAAAAATTAAATTCATTAGAATAAAATAATTAAAAAAATTGAATGTGAATATCTTGGTTAAAAGTTAATGAAGCCTTAAATAAAACTTTTAATCAAATCATAAACCTTATGCATTTGTATTAACTGTGAATTTTATTTGAAAAAATGACTCTTTGAATAAAAGGAATTAACAAATGTTGTATTTTTAATAGAAATTTTGGCAGAAGAAGGTATTGTAATTATATAAATAAGGCCTAGAGTTTTATCAAGTTTTATTTTCTTTGAAGTTTTTTAATAGTCTTCAATTATAAGTAATTAAAATAAAAAAAAAATCAAATCATATTTATCATATTATTATGTTTATATTTAATTATTTTTATTTATATCATATAATCAAACTAAATTTTAAATAAAAATGATATGATAATTTTTTTTATTGAAACGACTATTCATGTGTGTTGTAAAAAATAACGGTACTTTCTTTCTATATGTATGTTTTTTTTAGATGTACATCATTTATAAAATGGTATGATATTAAAAATGTTGTTTTAGATTTTACCTATATTTATAAGAAATTATATGGAATTTTTAAATGTTATATATTAGAGGTTCTTATAATATAATATATATATATATATATTAAATTATGAAATATTAAAAAAATATTTAAAAAATAGTTTAATTATTAAAAAATTTATTTTCAATGTAGAGTAACTACGATAAAGATCCAAAAAAATCTTCTAAAGATGAAAATAAAAAATTCAGAAAATAGCAGCCACCAATTTGACTTTTCAAAAATACATATAAAAAAATTAATATTTTTATTAAGAGATGAGAAAAATGTCCAACCATAACTGACTCGACATATTCTAAACTTCAAGAGTGTTGGGCTTAATTTTGAGATTTTTAAAATTTTAGGGGAATATTGGAATTAATTTTAAAGTTTATATTCAAAGAAGTTATTTAATTATTATAGATGTATGTATAATTATTAAAGATTTCACTATATTTTAATTCTATAAAATTATGCCTACTATAAATACATGTATTGAAAGAATTATATTATTAGTTTAAATCAATTGAACTTTCTCTTTTATAAGAGTAATATGATATGAATAAGTTATGTATTTTTGCTCTTGTATAATTTGTTTCCACCATATATTTGTTAGTACATACTTTGTTTTTCCTTAACAAAGTGGTATTAGAGCTTCAGTAACTAATAAAAAAATACTTGTTAATTTTATAAAAACAATATCCTCTAAATATTTTTAGAATGACTCAATAATATTATTTGGTAACAAAGCAAAAATTAAATGAGAACAAGATAATTTCATAAAGATAAAAAAAAAAAAACAAGATAATTTCATAAAGATAAAAAAAATAATAATTTAAACTTAACTACTAGTAAATCAAACATTGAAGGATGATTAATATTTAAAAGTATATTTTTATCAAGGTTTTATATCATCATTTTACACTTGAAGTATCAATAACTTCTTAATTAGAATACATTTTATAATAACATATCTAATAATATAAGATACCTTTAATTTATGATAAATATTCATCTTAAATGTAGGCCTATCACATAAATCAAATGATTGATTAATGAGTTCAACTACTGAAATTGAGAACATAAAGAGATGGTGAAGCTTAGAAAAGAGATGTTGTCAGTCCAAACTGGAACACTGTTCAGTCGTTGGGTCATATATGAAGCTGTAGATCTTAAATTTTAATTTCGTTTATATGGCTAGAAAGTTAAGACATTGGCCTAAAACATTCATAGGGAATGTAAGACTCAATTCTACTATTTGAAAGTCCAAATCCTAGCAATAATGGAGAAGTCCGAATTTGTCTTGTAGCTTAGATACTATTCAGTGTTAAGCCCATATCTTGAGTTCTAGAAGTCTAAATGGCCTTAATTTTTTATTTTTTAAAAAAGCTGAAGAAGTCTAAATGACCTTAATTTTTTATTTTTTTAAAAAGCTAAGACATTTTATTAAGACTTTTATGAATCAAGTCTGTTTAAATTATGATATTAGTAATGATATTTTATTAAAACAAGAAGATAAGGATTGTCACCAAGTCAAGATGTAGCCACCCACTCAATAATTAGTGAGCAAATTAATAGTTTCTAATTTTAACCTATGAAAGGAGTCATTTGTTATGCATTTAGATATCTTAGTTTTCAGATCAAGATCATATTCTTGCTCTCTCTTTATTGTAATGCTTAAGTTTTACTTATATTAATCTCTTGTTTATGTTTCTCATTGCATTTCATTTCCTTAGTTAACTTTTATCTTATTTATGTTGTTATCTTGTTTATTCATGTTTCTTTCTTTTATTATTTTAGTGAAGTTTATTATGTTAAGGTGAAAAGGTTACACTAATGGTGTAAGAATAAGTATAGTATAAACTCAACATGGACCTTAATGTTTGATACTAACATATTTTATATTTGTTATCTTCTTCACTTTTAATACTTTGTTTGTTAAATGGTTAATCTAAATTTGTATTATATAACACTTAATATAACAAATACTTGGCACTTTCATAGTCTAACTGTATGGTATAATCGACACTTGTGCTATGAAAGAAACTTGATTTGTTGTTAATGTAAGTTATAATCATAAATATCTAACAACATTTAATAGTATTAATATTATTCGAATAAGATAACTAATGTAATTATGTTAGCAATTTATAATTCGATTGGAACCTCATTTGTGTGTAGTTTCCAGTTGAGTAATAAAAGGAGTTTATATTATACTTGTTTAAAATATCATTAGTGAATAATCTAACATTGACAACCATTTTTATCATTGTTTGATCTTCATATTAATCTTTCATTTCAAAGTTGTCATCATTATCATCATTGTCATTAACATCATCGTCGTCGTCATCATTATTATTTATAATTTATATAGTTAACTTACTTGTGGTTAGACTCCAGTATTGCTAAGTTATTTATTACTTCGATATTTCTACATTTGAAAAAAGATATCAATCATTTGGTCGTGTCAAAGGATAAACTAGAATTTTTTTTTTAAAGATATCAATCATTTGGTCGTGTCAAAGAATAAACTAGAATTTAAAAAAAAAAAAGAATAAAAAAATCAGCTCAAATTAACATGCCAAAATCACAGCCCAATCATAAGATTGAGATAATTTTGTACAAAAACAATGAAATAAGATAATTAATGTCAGCTCTTAAGCAACTAAATGATGAAAGGCGAAACTAAAACAAAAATAAATAAAAAAAATAAAAAAAATTGAGTTAATCTGAGTGAACTCGACTAACCAGTAACTCAGGATATAAGATTGAAATAACTTAATAAAAGAAAAATAAAGAAAATTATGAAACTCAAAACCTAATAATCTAGTGTCAAATAATGAAATTAAAAAAAATTAATTGAAAAAACCTAAAAAAAAGTGAAATCAAATCAAGCTAATCTTCAAAACTCATGACTCAAGTAATGAAACCAAAATTACCCTATACAACAAAAACATGATTAACATGAGAAAATCACGAAACAAAATTCTCAATCATCCAAATATTGAGGGGTGATATTGAAAAAAACTAATCAAGAAAAGATTAAAAAAATTACCCTATACTAATCAAGAAAAGATTAAAAAAATTACAATAAAAAAATAAGAACCAAATTTAGCATAAAAACTAAATGACGTAAATAATGAGGGATGGAATTAAAAACTAAATAAATCAAGAAAATAAAAAAATATAGCAATAAAAAAATAAAGACTAAGCAAAGGCTGAGAACATTGCTTTGTAATGAATTTCGAATATAAGAGCAACAAGGATTGAGCCTTTAAGTATATTGCAATTAAAGATCTTTATTTGTAGTAGCATATTTTGTAAGATGTTTTTGTCTTTGAGGGATATGGTTAAGTTTGGATAGCAGTTAAAAGATATTGGACCGTTGCAGAGGCTAGACTCAATAGAATATAAGAGTGAGTCTTAAAAGTTTTGGAATATAGTATCTCGAATGATAGCTAAAATCGAGGTGTGTAAGCCTTCTTTTGTAAGGGGTTTTATCCTGACTTAAACAAGGTCATCATGAATGCATTTGTAGTTACTAGTTAGGTGTTTTTGTAAGGATTTTTAGGAGATTTTATAATTATTAAAATATCAAATTATTTCTTAGTTAAGTTAATTATAACTAAAAAATTAGGATGAAAATATCATTGGATGTCAACTCAAAAAAATCTAATAAAAATAATTTAGTCGTTTCATTATCTTTAAAAATATTAAAAATTAATTTGTCTCCTATCATTCTAATAATCAACAATAAATCTTATGAAAAAAATGTAATATCCCAATAACTAATTTAATGATTTTATTTTAAAATAGCAAAATAATTATTATATTTTTCAATTCACAACATGTAATTAAAGACTAATCACCGTTAGTTTTATTGGTTTCATTTACATATACAAGAAATTCAGGTCCTCCTTTAATGAAGATAGATAGATGCTATCAAGTAACAGTAACAGGGTGGAGTTGAGGCCAGCCACTATAGGATGGCAATTTTAATTTTTAACTGTTGCAAGCTTTTTTCAAAGTCTTTATTGGTATTAATATAATTTCTACTCTTTATCCAACTAGTAGAAAAAATTAATAATTAGTTAAATAAATTTTGTGTTTTATCCTAGGTCTTATACATATAGTTCTAAATTTATTTATTTTTAAATCATAATTAAAAATATTTTTAAAAAACCTACACTATATCAAACACATTATACACTGCAGGCCAGCTTTACACAATCAGAAGACTTCTATAGTAAAAGAGATATAGGCCTGCAGAGTGAATAATAGAAGACCTCCACTACATGGATTGAAAAAAAAAAGTTTTTTTTTTTCAGATTTACAAAAGTTATATTCAACAGAATAAAAAAAGGGGTACTTTTCTATAAAAGAATTTACAAGGAGATTGTCACTTGCAGGGAAATACAGTATAAAGGTACTGTTTATTTTTATATTTTTTAAAAATAAATTTTTTTATTTATTTTAAATTAATATATTTTTAGTGTTTTTAAATCGTTTTTATTGACTAATATTAAAAATAATTTTTTTTAAAAATAAAAAATCATGAAAAATTATTTAAAATAATTTTTTTAAAAAATAAAAAATCATGAAAAATTATTAAAAAAATAATAGGGTATACATTTTTAAACAAACTCCACTTAAAAAAAAAAACAAAACCCTGCTTTTGAAGGTAAAGTATGCACTTACATTTGCTCCAAAAACAAAACTTGGACAATGCTGTTAATTGCTCCGGTCATATATTGAGTTGAAGGTCATGGAAGCATATGAAGTGACCTTTCCTGATGATGAAGATGGATCTTCGAGCTTGCTTGAATTTGGAGATGATTTCTTCGTTTCCCACTTGCCATTCTGGTCTCTGTCTTTCTGCTTTTTGTCACCTTTGAGACTCCTGAATTCAGACAGCAAGCCAGGCCTTGATATCTTGTCTTTCACATCCATCTCACCCATTAACATCGAGACAACAGTAGACATCAAGGGACGCAGCTTTGACACTTCCTGGGTGCAAAGAAGTCCTATCTTCAGGTACTTGCAAGCCTCTTCAGCATCATAATCCCTTCCCAACGATGTGTCCACCAAGTTAACCAGGTCCCCTTTCTCATAAGATACCCATACCTAAAGATTGCATCTTTACTTAACAAGATCTCTATGTGAACAAATTCAGAGGACAACTACTTTGAAATCCGTTAAGACTTGATTGGAGAAAATAAAACAAGGTTACCGCACAGTTTAAGCTCATAATCTGTTGATTAACTGAAAGGATCGCTAAACCTTCATAAGGAATCGGGAACAAAGGATTATGAAACTAGAGCATGACAGTAAGTGAAAGACCAATGCTTCATAAGAACTATTGACTGTATACTGACTCCCTAAAATACCACAAAGCTCAAAGGTCAAGAAGCAGAATTGTAGGTTGAAGATGGGAGTGATGTTTCTACTTTGAAATGGGTAATGGATCCATCCAACATGGAACAAGAATGAGCAATTATTCTAGAGTGTTTTGCTGGCTGATACTTGAAAGTTATTCTGCAAAGATCAGTTGCAGTTTTATTCTAAAGAAAAATGCAGAAGAAAAGGACATCAGAACAGCCATCCCAAGCTGAACATAAGTAACACTTGTCCCATTGAAAAATGAATAGGCTATCTTAATAAAACTGAAAGCTACAGTCGTCTTCTAAGCTTAGGGATTCAATCTTACAAGGAAATTACCAAACACCACCAACTCCATATCAAAACTCAAGCACGCCTAGACGAAACGCTATGGAACAAAAAACATGGCCATGTGCACAAAATAAGAGCACTCTAAGACCCAATACGATTTGAAAATGAGATTTAGTTCATAACATGAACTCAACAGAAAATGGAAATCAATGTAGCCACTCCCAGCTAGTTTGGAAACATGGCCTGGCTGATTTGAATTTTATACCCAGAATATCAGAGATGCAAATGCAGCCTACAAAGAAATATCACTTCAGGAAAATAAAGCATCACAAAAATAAATTTTAGATGCAGGAATCAAGAACCTGGTTTACGAGTCTGCACGTTTTTCGAACTCAAATTGCAACAAAATTAAACCAGGATTTGCTTAATAGTAATTAGCTATCAAGGAAAGAATCCCTGCTTTTAGTTAAAGAAAATCATCTTTCATACTCTATTAAAGAAAAGAAAATCATCTTTCATACTCTATTAAAAAAAAATCTGAATTTTCTTTAATAGCATTAAGACAAATTTGCAGTGAGTTTCAGAAGGCCCCATACCCTTTTAAGCAGGTATTGCTCTTCTGTGGGTAACGGCCAATTTGTGTTGGACCTCCCACTAACAATTTCCAGCAATAGAATACCGAAACTGTAAATATCAGCTTTCCTTGTCAGCTGACCTCGAATTGCATATTCTGGAGCCAGATATCCGCTGCACATGTGCAACAAGAACAGTAAATTGTTTACTGCGTCAACATGACAATTCGGTTAAATACGCAAAAAGAAAATCACAGTTTATCTATGCCTATCAAACATTATGGCATATCATCGAAGACTTGTATTTTCACTTTCTAATAAGCATAATACATATTTTGGCTGGCTCCACAGTAGCTTTTAAGTCACAATTTAATTCCTGCATGGAGATTATTCCAACAAATTAGAAATCATAAAAAATCAAGTTTGGTAACAGTCTGTGAACCCAGATTTCGAAAGAAGGTATGAACCAATGTTAAATGATCCCACCCACCCACAGAGATATAACAAGGGGAATATTATGAGATAAGATGCAATAGTATGACATGTCTAAGGTACTAGAGGTACTAGATAGGAACATCATTCAATCAAATCAAACTACCCAGAACACTACGCAGCAATTAGGCTAGACGCTAGAAAAACAAACTGCTAGAGATCATAAAAAGCAACAGGAGTTGCATTTCATTTTACAATGCATTGAACAACAATACCTGTGAGAAGCAAATATAACAGGTTTGTGAACTTACGTAGTTCCAGCAACTCGTGTGCTTATATGAGTCAGGTGGGATGGGAAAAATTTTGCAAGACCAAAGTCTGATATTTTGGGCTCGAGTTCACTATCAAGGAGAATGTTACTTGCTTTAATATCCCTATGAACAATATGTGGCTGGACTTCCTCGTGAAGGAATGCAAGCCCTCGTGCAATTCCAACGCATATTTTGCGCCTTGTAGACCAACTGAATTTGATACTGCTATGGCCTCCACCTTAAAGATATAGGAAAAATATAACCTGAGCTGTTTGAAAACAAAAACCATGAATGAATGGCGTGCTTACCGAGAAGTGTTTGTGCAAGGCTGTTATTCTCAAGGTAGCCATAGACCAAAATTCTATGGTTTCCATCTGCACAATAACCATACAATTTAACCAGGTTATTGTGCTCTATATCTGCTATCACTTTTATTTCTGTTAAGAACTCCCGTAAACCTTGCCTTGATTCAGCTGACAGTACCTTTATGGCAGCCACGGAGCCATCTTTAAGTATTCCCTGTCCATTAAATTACTGGAATTCAGATCAAGGTTAAGTTTAATAACAACAAATTAAAACCCTCAAAATCCCTTCAAGATTTTTCATAAAGACATAAGCATGTAAAATCACCTTGTAGACGGAACCGAAACCTCCCTCTCCAACTTTATTGGCTGAATTAAAGTTGTCAGTTGCCATTTGCAATTCCCTATGAGTGTAACAGCAAATGTTCTGTGACCCCGAAACCTCTGTACCATATAAATCCATTATAAATTTTTGCTCGATAAGTAGGTCTGTGAGAAATCGATTCAGCAAATTCTCAAACTAAATAATAGAGTGTCAGCTAATAAATTTTTAACCCTTGAGTTACATACCATCATCAGCTTCTAGAGTTTGTCTAGCTCTTGAAACTCCCTTCCCTTTGCAAAATGAAAATAAACAACTCATCACCAGATTGCTTAGACGAATGAATGCCTCCACCTAAATCAAGTCCCAGCCCTGCAAAAATAAGCCATAAATCATGTCGTTATGCAATTCCTTTCCCGTATGCCTATTCTTGCTTGACCAGACACTTCGAAAGGGAAAAGGCATAAAGGAATTTTTCAGTCAAATGATGATGGCAACAATAATAGCATTACAAAAGTTCTTTTTTTAATTTCACCCATCTTAATCACTATGTTAGGAACATGCACATGGATAACGCAAAAAAAGAAGAAAAGATTTTCTCCTTTTAATCAATATGTTAGCCAGAATATCCTACTGCGATTTTGAAAACTTCTTCAAGTAACTATCGGAGTAATATTCTAAAGGTATTAAATGGGACCATATAAAGTAGTTAGCAAACTGAGAATTGAACCCAGAAACCAAATAAGCACCCAAAAGAACACAATATCTCAATAACTAGCGATAAAACTTCTCATTAATGTAGGCAACAAATTCTAAGAGATTCGTCATCACCAAATAAAAACCACTTCCACAAAAAAAAAACATAAAGAAAAAAAAAGTAGCGATTTTCATTGAGCTGAAGCAGATGGCTCCATAATGGGATTACAACAAAAAAGCTCAGAAGTCATTAATTAAACTTGTACAAGGATTTAGCACAATTTAAGCCTTGATATATAACAAGACCCTTCCTTGTTCCTTTGAATGCATAAAAGTCACGACATTGAAGATAAAAAGAAGATAAAGATTCAAGCTTTGTTGTTTAAGCAGTTCTTCATAATAAAAGCTTTTGACTTGGTAAGTTGAACTTTCTTTGTTTCTCCATTCAGCAAAAGAACTAAGGAGGCAAACCTATATGTGCTTTCTACTGTTTTCATGCAAAAGATTATTTGCAAACACAAAGAAGAGCAGATTAATTTAGCTAGCTTACCTTGACTTGGTTGGTATTGTCAGACGGCAGAAGCAGAAATGTCGAGATCAAGCAAGTTGTTATCCAGGCCAAAAAACAAAGCAGAGGGAGAGGAGAAGAGTCTTATAGAAATCCCGTGCGCTGGCAGAAACAACTCTTTAGGTCTTTCACGGTCTTCCACTAGGACGGTGACCGGATGGAGATGGTACCTCTCGCTATCAAAGCAACGCCCTTTCGTTTGCGGCATGCATAAAACCATTTTTTGTTTTTTTATCGTTTGAAATAGTGATGTAAGAAATGAAATTTTAAAATTAAACAAAAAATATTATTTTAAAATTAAAAAAAAATACTCTGTAAAATAATTTTAATATTATCGTTACTTTTAAAAATATTTTTTATATAAACTTATAAATCTCCACTGTGATAATAAGACAGCCATCAAAATTGTACAAAATCTTATTGAAGATCGCATTAAATATATTAAATTTAATCATCATTTCATCAAGAGTAGCTCGGTGACAAAATTTAACAATTTTTATTTATTCAATCCGCTGGCTACTATGGCTGTTTCAGGATGTTGTTTAATGGTATAATTGACAAATTGGGCATGATATAGAAACAATTTGTATTTTTATTTTACGATTTAATATATATATATATGTGTGTGTGTGTGTGTGTATGTTATACCCTTTTGACAAGCTCTATAATTAATATTACAAAAGACTTCCCCAGTCAAAAAGGATATGTGAGAGAGAATATAAATATAAAGGGCACATGAGAGTAAAAGAGTTTTAAAATAACATATGAGAGAACACGCCAAATTTATTTTATGGACCCTTTTCAAGAGTTTAAGTTATAGGTATTACTAAATATAAGCAATTAAAAAATTAAAATTATATATTTTAGATTAGGATTTATCATTTTCTTAGTTTTTTTATATCTGATTATATATATTTTCTTCATCATATAATCAAACTAAATTTATTTTTAAATATGAATGACAAGTTAGTTTTATTTTTAATTGAAAATAATTATTTTGTGTCTATTTTAAAAAAGAATAAAGGTCTATTTCTCTTCTATTCTTTGAAAAAACAAAAAAACAAATATGAAACTTTGCAATAACAACAAGATATAAGTATTCTGTCCCAAAAAAAAGAACATGATATAAATAAAATATTTTTTTTAAGTATGTTTATATGAAAAATTATTTTTAATTAGGTATTAAAGTCTTTTCATTTTCATAATTGCGCGTTTGAATTCTAATTTCTTTCATTGATTGAGTTTGAGTTGTTCGTCTATTGATAAAATCTTATAATAAAAATGCCTAATGTTCCAAGTGGGAGCATGAAATATGATATGTCTTCTTTTAAGATATATATTGTCTACGTGAAATCTAAGCCATAGAATTATGTCTTTTTTTTTCGGGGTGGGGGCGCTAATCAATGCCGTGACATACTTAGAGCGAGGTCTCAAGTATTCTTGCCACATGCTTTGAATGTGCATCGATAAAAGTTTCATATAAATGTTAAATTAAATTCTAAGAAAACAAAAAATAAAGTAAAATAAAATATAAAATATAAATAAAATTAAAATAATATCATAAAAATTACTGCAGTTCATTGTCATCATATATAAATCCAAGTGTTTGCAGTATGTGTATATATATACTTGTAATTTTTTTTTTATCTTTTGGCTGTCAGTATCTATTAAAATCTGAATAAAAATAATAATTTAATTTATAGAAATCTAAGTGAAAAGAAAGAACCTTAGTTAATAGATAAATGCTACTTGGTGTATATCATGTTGAACGTGTGAGCATATATGACAATAAATCTATATAACTTGCAGGCTGTTTTTTAAATTATTTTTTCAAATTATGGATTCTGTTTTCTTACGTATCTATTTTTATTTAAGCTTCTTCTATATTTGAAACCTTTGAGAATAAGAGGATTGTACAAGGTAAAGAAATAATAATTGAAAATTTCATGAAAAATAGTAATGATTGGAAAATTTTAAAAATATCTCAAACATAGATTTATCAAAAATTCAAATATGATATTTTCAAAACGGATTTTACAATTAAAATTAAAAAAAAAAGATATTCAACTTACAAAACCCTTTTAAAACTATCTAACTTCTCTCCTAAAAATCCTTACAAAAACACCTAATTAGTAACTACAAATGCATTCATGATGACCTTGTTTAAGTCAGGATAAAACCCCTTACAAAAGAAGACTTACACACCTCGATTTTAGCTATGATTTGAGATACTAGAGATATTCAGCTTACAAAACCTTTTGAAACTATATAACTTCTCTCCTAAAAATCCTTACAAAAACACCTAACTAGTAACTACAAATGCATTCATGATGACCTTGTTTAAGTCAGGATAAAACCCCTTACAAAAGAAGGCTTACACACCTCGATTTTAGCTATGATTTGAGATACTAGATTCCAAAACTTTTAAGACTCACTCTTATATTCTATTGAGTCTAGCCTCTGCAACGGTCCAATATCTTTTAACTGCTATCCAAACTTAACCATATCCCTCAAAGACAAAAACATCTTACAAAATATGCTACTACAAATAAAGATCTTTAATTGCAATATACTTAAAGGCTCAATCCTTGTTGCTCTTATATTCGAAATTCATTACAAAGCAATGTTCTCAGCCTTTGCTAGTAAACACAAATTCCAATCCTAAAAAGGAGAAATATTTTTTCTACAAACAGATCTATCCCGCTCAAACATTCATTTAATTTTTGTATTCAATTTAGTCCTTATTTTTTTGCAATCCAATAAAAAGATATAACTCTTCTAGAAAATTAAATCATTGAAGAAGCAACCCAACCATAATTACCTCAAATACCATAGCCCAATGTCCATATCAAAAACATCACCTAATATATAGATGACAAAGTTAAATTGTCTTTTCATAGACATTCTACAAGTTTCAGATTCTCAAAAGAGTCTTCCTCTTCTAGTACAATAAATTTCGAAAGAATTTTCAAAATATTTTCTATCATAAATATCCTTTATCACACAAATCATTCTAGAAAATCTACATCTAATATCCTTTCTGTTAGTTTCCAAAATGTAGATTATATTACAACTATACCAAAACCCTTATACACTAACACCAATTAACAATCTCCTATTATATCTCCAACTTTTTCCACAGTCACTGAAAACATGCAAAACGAGCTGAATGTGTTGACTTCATAAAAACGTTTTGTTTTATATAAAACTCATTTTAAAAATGATTTTTATGGTAACCGCAATTTCAAGAAGCGATCTTGGTTTCTCGAACAATTTCTCCAATAAAGACATTTAATCCAAAAACAATTATATGATTTTGTTGAACTAAATAGAATACAAATTTTATTCTTTGACTGATTTGAACTTTATTATGCATCAGCGCATCATATTACATATCCATTTGCATCTATTAAACATGCATGTCCAATCACCACTAAATCTAAAACACCAGTATGGAATCTCACTAGTGGACCTCCAGTTGAGTTTGAACATTTACCTTTAAGGAACATTCAACTAAACCATAAAAACCAATTGTCGATGCAACACTTTATAAAATATCAGGTGATGATACCCTTACAATCACTAAACATACTAGACAAGAAAAAAAAAAAAAAGAACCCCTATCAATTTGATTAATACCAAAACCTCAGTCAACCTAAAACTAAAAAACCTAGTCTTCAAACCTTACCAAGTTACCAAGACAAGCCAAACATAGATTCAAGAAAATCAAATAGATTTCTTAAAAGCCATCAAAACATATCTACAACTCTTTAATGGATCAACTTTAACCGTTCCAAACACACATCAAACAACTAACTCTTCTACATCTACAAACCAAGTCAACAACCTTCAAAATAGCCAAACTTATATTTAAGAAAATCAAACAGATTTCTTAAAAGCCATCAAAACACATTTACAACTCATTGATGGATTAACTTTAACTGTTCCATAAACACATCAAACAAACAACCATTCTACATCTACAAATCAAGTAAACACCCTTCAAAATAGCCCTGTACAAACTTCTAATGAGGAAGCATTTCAAAATCCACCTCTTGAGCTAAATAGACTTACTTGGCAGCTTTCCAAAATAACCATTGCTCCAAGTATCTCCACATCAACAAAACCAACTATTCTAAACTAATATAATACAATTCTTCTTTCTTCTATGCATGGAACACAAATAAAATATCCTAATACAATATCCTAAATATCCTTTAACAAATAACCATGACAGCAAATGTCTATAAAACCCAAATAGAAACCCTCGATAAAGTCATAGATGAACTCCTTATTGTTATCATTTCTGGCCATTTAAAAGGATTATGGCATTACCATCTCATAGGAACAGACCATTTAAAAATTCTAAATTCTATCCAAACATATAAAAACCAAACACCCATCCTAGACTCTTCAGAAAATACCATCTAAGATGTTGTATCAGCCCTGATTTTTACTATCTCTTTACATTTTATCGAAGATCCTTCAAATCTGAAAGATAAAAATGTTGAACTCATCTTTGACCTTTAATATAAAAAACTCAATGACTTTCAATAGTACAAAAATACTTTTCTTAATTGAGTCATACTTAGAGAAGACTTCAACCAACCTTTTTTAAAAAAAAAATTCCTTACTGGACTATTAATCATCTTAGGGGAAAATGTCTGAAACAAAATGAAAGATACCTTTATATCCAAAATCATTCCATATGACTAGCATATCTATGGTAAACTTGTTAGCTTCACCCAAAAACATCTCAAGATTTGCCAAGATTTTAAACTTCAAAAACATTTGAAATGAGAAATGAAACACACCAAAGAAGAACTTGGTAGTTTTTGTCACTAGTTTGACCTTTACATAAAAACAACATCCTGTAGTGGTAGTTACTCAAAACCTAAAAATTATCCAAACCATTGTAAACCTTTTTATAAAGGATCGACCCATAAATATTGAAAACAATTTACTCCAAAACTGAATGAATCTATTATAAAAAACCTTATAAGAAGATTACCAAAACCTCTAAACCTCTCAATCCTAAACCTAAAAAACCTTTTGACCTTAAAACCATTACTTTTTACAAGTGTGATAAAAAAGGACATACATTCCGTTTATATAAAATCAATTTCAAGCTCCATAAACTCCAAATAGAAGAAGACATTATCAACTAAATACAATCCTTTACATTAAAGCCTTATACACAAACC